TGGGGCCAAGCAAGCGCCATGGCACCGTTACACTAAACTTCTGCTCCACGTTGTACTTAGCGAGCAAGGCACAGCTGGGCCCGCTCCGGGATGTCAGCTGTGAGTAAGCGTAACGACTGACGACAATGATTAGCAAATAGCGAGCTGCAATTAGCAAGTATTCATTAACAATTAATGCTAATTACAAATAAAGCACATTGTAGGCATGTGAGACATGAGTAATTACTGATGGTTGAAAATCAATAAATGATTAGCCATTAGCATGTATTCACAATTAATAAATACATACCCTACTAATTAAGCACATGGGAAATGAATAATTACGGATTGTTAAAAATCAATAATTAATTATTAGCAATTAACAACTATTAATTAGTAATTAGCACTTAAGAGACCCAGTTATTAATAGTTAGCAATTAGTAGCAACTGTTATTTATTGACCATGAATGCCAATAATATAACGGATCAGCAATTAATAGTAGCATGTTATAATTAGGAATAAATTAATGTAAAGCTTTGCTAACAACAGTGGGCAATGACAAGAGAGTGTTATCAATTAACGATCACTAGAAATAATATCATTAGGAATGACTATGAGCAAAGCCCATAGAGCGCTGCCCGCACTCGGGTCTCTTTGCCCACGGCAGGGTCAATAGACCCCTGTGGGTCTGGCTTCGGTAACTGGATCAGCCATAGCGCCGCTGGGGTCACTGGGGCCAGACCCCCAAGCTCCATGGGCGTGAGTGGGGCCAGCCCCCCAAGCTGGTGTGCCTGGCTCCACGGCAGTCGATGAGGCAGACCCTCGGCGGGTGGCTATTGGCACCGGCCCAATGGAGTGTGGCTGATTTACACTTGCTGAGGCTCTGGCCCCGGGATCTGCACTGGCTGGAGTTGTACTGAGCCCTGCGTGGCCCTTGCCAGCTGGCGGGAAGTCCCCCTGCCGGCACACTCAGCCCCGCCGTGGATTGCGCCGCACTGACCTCGCCGCAGCTGGACGGCGCCACCTGCTTGGAGCCGACGGACACCAGGAACGCCGGCCCGTACGCCGCACTCAGCTGCAGAGACGTGCGCACCAGGGTGGGTACAGGGCGAGGGAGAGAGCGGGGGCATCGCCTCCACGCAGGGCATGGCTGGCCAGAGCGATGTGGGGGATTTGATGGCATCGAATCCAAACCCAGAGCAGCAGTGCACTCAGATAGGAGCCCCAAAGCTGAGCCGTAAACGTATCTGATCACAACTCAGAATCCATCCATCCGTTCTATCCTTCCATCCCCATTCAAACCCATCATCCATCCACCCATCCATCCCCATACAGAGCCATCTATCTACCCCCATTCACACCCATCAGCCATCCATCCATCCGTTCTATCCTTCCATCCCCATTCACACCCATCTCTCTACCCCCCATTCACACCCATCAGCCATCCATCCATCCCCATTCAAACCCATCATCCATCCATCCATCCCCATACAGAGCCATCTAGCTACCCCCATTCACACCCATCATCCATCCATCCATCCATCCCCATTCACACCCATCATCCATCCATCCATCCATCCATCCCCATTCACACTCATCATCCATCCCCATCATCCATCCAGCCACATACAGAGCCATCTATCTACCCCCAGTCACACCCATCATCCATCCCATCCATCCCCATTCACACACATCATTTATTTATCCATCCCCATTCACACCCATCATTCATTCATCTGTCCCCATACAGAGCCATCTATCTACCCCCATTCACACCCATCCATCCATCCATCCATCCCCATACAGAGCCATCTATCTACCCCCATTCACACCCATCATTCATCCATCCATTGCTGTGAGACGGGAACAATGGCTCACCCGTCTCGCTCACCTCCCGGGCTTACGGGGTTCTTTGGGGAGCCAGGCACTGACTGGGCCCTCAGACGCGTCACCTGGAACTTTCTCCAAAGGCCCAATCCAGGAAAGACCCCTCGTTCAGAGCGCTGACCTGGCCCCCAATGGGATCTGAACCCAAAGGGTTGTTGCAAGGAGGAGGGAGGTAAATTGTTCTTCCTCAGAGGACAGGACAAGAAGCAATGGGCTTAAATTGCAGCCCAGGGCGGTTTAGATTGGACATTAGGAAAAACTTCCTGACTGTCGGGGTGGTTAGACACTGGAATAAATTGCCTAGGGAGGTGGTGGAATCTCCATCATTTGGGATTTTTAAGAGCAGTTTAGACAAACACCTGTCAGGAATGATCAATACTGAGCCCTGCCGTGAGTGGAGGGGACAGGACTAGATGACGTCTCAGGGTCCCTGCCTGTCCTACGATTCTCTGATTCTGTGTGCTCCTGGGCTGTCCTGAGTAGCGCTGGGCTCAAGCACACGCTTAAACGCTTTCCTGAATCGGGGCCTAAGGCTTGTGACCTGCGTAAGCCTTCGACATGGAGTTTCACAGGTGCCCCCGGAGCTGGCCCCACGGCACTGGGTGAATTCTGCCCTTATGATCACCTGCCACATGCGATGAGGGTTAATGATTGATGAAGGCGCACAGATAAGAAGGACAATGGCCCTTGGATCATTCCCCCCGATGCGCTGCCCAGACCCCAGCTGAGATCAGGGCCCCATCGCGCCTGGCGCTGCCCAGACCCACAATGAGAGACAGTCCCTGCCCCAAATCTAACCAGATTCTCTTATGAAATTTCCACTTTCTTCCTGGGTTGGAATTGCTTTGCTATGGTAATTCAGGTCACCGTCTGAGCCAATGGACCTGATTCTGTCACCCGGGGGCCCCTCAGGGCCAGGGTAAAGGGGGCTTGAAGTGGAGGAAATGGCCCCTCAGAATTCCCCCTGCACGTAGGATGTTGTAAGGTCCCTGCTCCCAACCCTTGGCACAGGGGTCAGCTCCGGGGCGTGGCCAGAGCACACGGCGCTGTGGCTAGTCTCTGCTCCCCAGGGCCCATAGGGGGCAGGACGTGAGTTAGGGTAGCCCTGAGGTTGCTCTAACTAACACAAAGAGCTGCAAAGGGGAGCTTAAAGCCACTTTGACACCCTGCTCCTGTCCCAGCCGCAGGGATGGGGTAAATGTGTATGAGGCCATGGCCTTTAGGGGGTTTTGTTGTGATACAGCACCAGCAGCGTCTGACCTTTTACCCTACTTCAGAGGTTTTCAACCTGCGGGGCCGCAGCCCCCTGGGGGTCCGCAGACTATGTCTGAGATTTAACGGGGTCCGCACCTCCAGTTGAAATGGAAAAAGGTTGAAAACCCCTGGCCCAGGGCCATGTGAAAAGCGCATGATTTCGGCATCACAAATCCTCATGATTTTCTGGGTCTCCACTGCTCATTTGGATCACCCCAGCTCTCCGTCCAGGCTGGCCAAAGGCCGGGCCGGCTGCTGCCAACACATGGGGAGAGAGCGGCCTGTCCCTGGGAGCTGGGTTCTGGGAATGTTCATTGCCCTTTGCTAACGTGTCCATGGAGCGGTCCCAGGGACCCGTTCAACGTGCGGGCCTGGGATCCATGGGGCTGATTCCCCCCTGCTTGTGCCCGGGGTCCGCTCTAGAGCTGGGGGATGGTTCTTCAGTGAATAGTGAGTTTGCCCCAGAAATGCAGAGTTGGGGGCAGCCAAATTGTCCATGAACGTGGGTCAAATTCAGTAAATAGTTTGGTCTGGGGAAAAAAATTGATCCCCCCTTCCCCCCCCCTCCCCGACAAAACAGCTGTTGATCCTTTCCAAAGTCAGTGTTTTGCCTTGTCATTCTGTTGGGAAGCTTGTTTTTCCATGTTGGGTGGTTTTTTCTTGGTTTTTCATTCTGGTGACCAAAATTCACCTTCAGCTTGAAACAAACTGATATCCGTCCCCTCCACCCCCCGCACTCAGCTCTTGGCATCTCGCACACCAGGGACAAAGTGAGCGCAAAGCTGGACCCATCTGTAGCGTGTTACATTCCCCTTTGCACTGGTGAAAGTGACCCCCCCGGCCGGGATCAGGGCCCTGTTTTGCTGGGTGAGAGCCTGTCCCTGCCCCAAAGAGATCCCGGGCTGAAGAGAAAGAGACATGCCCAAGGCCACTGAGCAGGTCGGTAGCAGAACCAGGATTAAACCCCGGGTCTCTGGACGCTCAAGACAGTGCCCTTGCCTCTAGGCCACGCTGCCACCATTTCTAGCTGGTGAATTTCAACAGAGACCCGGGCAAAGAGCGATGCATGCACTGCTCCCTCGCTACAGGGGGCAATGAAGAACCCCCCCTCCGAGCGGCATGTCCTTCCCTGGCCCCAGAGCAGTCACAATTTACTGCTGGTCGGTGTCAGCCATTGTCACCCACTCTCTGCCCGTTCCCCGCCCACCTGCTCCGGGGAGAGGCTCGTTAGCCATCAATAATCAGCGCTCCGCATAATTACTGGGGTCTGACCCACTCCAATTTATTAGCTAATTCAGACGACAGCTAAGCCAGCTTCCATGGGTGTTAGCGCAGGAGTTAACTGAACAGCGTGGTACAGAGACCCAAACCGTGAAACCGGCCCTGCAGCCGTGAGCGCGGAGCCGTCTGGTTCCGATAACCCGCCTGCCCCAGACTGCTGTCCCCTTCGGTTCTCACTAGTGCGGCTCCGGACAAAGGCTGTTTTTTGGAACATTTCCAAACCGAAATGTGACCGATTTCTCGCTGCAACGTCAGGGCTCTGCTGCTTATTCAGTATCGCCTGGTCGGTTGCGGTTTGCATCCTGCTGACTCCATCAAGAGAGCAGAGCGCTGGTCTCCTCGTGCGAGCAGCAAGCAGCTATTCCGCGGGATCCCGAAGCACCGCGCTGCTCTGGCTCACGGACTCGCTACGAGGCCTCGCAAGAGACTGGCCCATCAGTAAATAGACTTTGGAGCGGCCAGGGCCAAGGACGGGAGGTGGGGGGGATGTAAAGGTGTCGGGGAGCCGGGATTCCCTTGCGCAGTGGGGAGATACAAGCTATCAGCTAGCCCTATGTGGCACTTTCACACAGCCAGATCCCCCCATTGGCTCCTGACAGGGCCAGTTCTCCACCTAATAAAGGTCTGGTTCCTTTGTGTTTCTCCCTCCCCAAGGCTGCCCCCAGAAATCCCGTCTGGCTCCGCGGGGCTGCTAGCGCGGGACCAGGCACAGCTCGTAGCTGCGGGGCAGGGTGGCGAACCCGACCAGCTTCGGGGAGATGTCGATGTCTTTGGGCTCCACGGGGGAGCGGAAGCGGAAGTTCTGCAGGATGCTGGTGAGGAAGAGGAAGAGTTCCATGCGCGCCAGCATCTCCCCGAAACAATACCTTTTCCCTAGGAGAGAGGACAAAGGAGGCGTCATGGCCCGGCCGCAGCAGGGTGTCAGGGGCAGGTGAGACTCTGGGAGGGGGTCTCACCCCTTGTCCAAACTCTGCCCCAGTCTGGAGCTCTGGCGGTGGCGATGGTTGGGGAAATTGGGCACCGTTCGTTTGAAGATCTGTAGAGGGGGCAGTTGCATGATGTTGCTGTGCTGGGAGGGGTTAATGAGGCAGATCTTTGAGCTCTAGACAGTCACTGACTTTGTGAAAGCAGCCGGCCGGATGCTCTGAGCCCTGCAGCTGGGCAAACAACAGGGGAGAAAAGTCTCCCTGATCTGTTCAGCTATCCTGCCCCGGGACAGACTGCGAGGACCCAGGAGGACGGAGAAATAACACGCTCGGGAGGGAGATATTACAGTCTGAAGGGATCACTGCGATCTTCCAGCCTGACCCCAGCAGAGCAGGTGCAGGAGAATCTCACCCAGTGACTTCCGCTACTGAGCCCAGCAATCTGTGTTTAATTACAGCGTCTCTTCCGGAAAGGCAGCCGGCCTGGCTCTGCAGCGGCCAAGCGACGGAAGCTGTTCCAGGGGCTAATTCCCCCCAGTCTTAAAAATTTGCACTTTATTTCTAGTTGGGATTTACCACCAAGCTTCAGCTTTCGGTCTTTGGCTCCCGTTCCGCCTTTGCTAGATTAGGGACCCCGCGGCCGTCAGATCCCTTCTCCCCCAGGCGGTGCCGATAGACCGGGATCAAATCACCCCTTAACCGCCGCTCCAATGAGCTCCCGGAGTCTCTGTGCAGCGGGTTCCCCAGACCTCCTCCGAGCCTGTAGCTCTTCTCCGAACCCTTTCCAGCTTGTCAGCACCGTGTGCAAGGCGTGGACACCGGAACCAGACACGGTGTCCCAGTCCGGCCTCAGCAATGCTGCATTCAGAGCTAACGTCGCCTGTCTGTTCCTAGGCCACATTCCCCACGACGCCCTGGGCAGGAATCCGCCCGATCGCGCCACTGGGAGACTGGCATTCGCTGGAGTGAGGGGCAAACGACCAAGCCTGGTTCGGAGAAAAGGAACCGGCTACTCCTGTGGGATGGCACAGGTGATAATTACCCCAGATGTGTCCGTCGGCCTCACCCGAGGTCAGGGTACCTTTGTGCTAGGCGCTGGACAGACCCATGGGGAGAGACGGTCCCTGCCCCAAAGAGCTCACAAGGCCCCGATTCCCCACGAGGCTTCAGCGCACACCTACCCCGGAGAATGTGTGAACAGCCCCCTTGACCCCAATGGAGTGACACTGATTTACACCGGCTGAGGATCTGGCCCCATTGGTGTGACACTGATTTACACCGGCTGAGGATCTGGCCTCACAATTCTCTGTACGCAGGGTGAGGTCTAGCAGCGGGCGGCTGGGCCAGGCCCAGATCTCGCTGCTTGGGACACTCAGAACCGAGCTCTGCGGGGGATTCGTACCTATTGAGAAGGGCACGAAGGCGTCGCTCTTCTTAAACTGGCCGTTCCCATCCAAGAAATGGCTGGGGTCGAAGGTGTCGGGGCGGCTGAACTGCGTGGGGTCATACAACACGGATCCCAGCATCGGGTACACCTCTGTCCCCTGGGGGAAGAGAAAGCAACAAACAGCAATGATTAAACGCAGATAACCCACAGCACTGGGGCACAATTCAGGGTCATTCTAACCATGGGAGGCATTTGCAATGCAAGCAAAGATCAAAATTCAAGCGGCCAGGAGAGGCCAGAATCCAAGGTGTCTCCCAGCGCCCTCTGCTCTAGCTACTGCCCTCAGCTCCTCCCGGAGCTGGGAAGGGAACCCAGGAGTCCGGACTCCTCCTTCTCACCACGGAACCATGCTGCCCCTGCATACAGCTATTGTCCAGTCTCAGACTCTGAGCTCTGTGGGGCAGCGTCTTTGTGTTCTGTGCATTACAGCACCGAGCGCGGTGGGGTCTGGTCCATGACTGGGGCTCCTAGACACGCTGGGAAAACCCACAGTAAACACAGGACACCATGGGCCAGATCCACAGCCGATGGACCTATGCTGATTAGTACCAGCTGCCCAGACCCCGACCGAGATCAGGGCCCCGTCACGCCGGGCGCTGCCCAGACCCCAACCGAGATCAGGGCCCCATCACGCCGGGCGCTGCCCAGACCCCGGCCGAGATCAGGGCCCCGTCATGCCGGGCGCTGCCCAGACCCTGGCTGAGATGAAGGCCCCGTCGCGCCGGGCACTGCCCGGACCCCGACTGAGATCAGGGCCCCATTGTGCAAGGTGCTGCACAGACATAGTGAGAGACACTCCCTGCCCCAAAGAGCTCCCTGTCTAAATAGACAAACAAAAGCTCATTAACTGCATGTATGTTAATTTAACAGATGGGGAAACTGAGGCACAGAGCGATACCCAAGGTCACACGATGAGTCAGTGGCAGAGCTGGGAATTGGACCTAGACAGAGGGTGGGAGGGAAAGAGTGTCACTCGAGGTCCTGTAGCAGGGCTGGGAACAGAAACCAGGTCTCATAAGCCCCAGTCTGGTGCCCGGGCCGCTAGACCACACGACTTCCCAGAGGCAGGCGGAGAACCCAGGCTTCCCGAGCTCCAGACCACCCCGGTGCCTGCTGCACCACACTGGGACAATGCTGAGCCCTACACAGCCATGGGGCGGGGTGGGGGATAGACGCCCCGGGACCTACCTTGGGAATAGTGTATCCCCGGAACTGGGTGTCCCTGGTCACCCGGCGCGCCAGGCCCATGGGGATGACGTCACAGAACCTCTGGAACTCGTGGATGACGGCGTCGGTGTAGGGCATGCGGCTCCGGTCCTCCATGCTCGGGGCGCGGTTCCGCCCGATCACCCGGTCGATCTCCTCGTGGATCTTTTCTGCGGAGACGTCAGCACAGCTCAAAGGGGGGGGCCCGTGCGAATCCGGATTGACCCCGGGGGGAACCGAGATCCGCATCTGGCCCTACCCCCACTGCCGTCAGGGGGTGGCTCTGGATTAGCCCCGGGGGAACCGAGATCTGAATCCAGCCCCTAGAATTGGAATCTGAAATAGCAACGCTGACCCGGCGTTCCCTGACCGTCGGCTTCCTTTGACGCACGACGGAGCGACACAGACAGGACACAAACTCGCTGCCGAGCTGTGACTGTCCGGCCCCATCTGGAGCTGGTGTAAAAGGAGGAACCGCTGCTGCCCTCAGCAGAGTCCGGCTGATTTACCCCAGCTGAGGATCCGGCCCTTTGCGTTTCCTTTGTCCCCCCGTGACGTTGCACTCCATATGATTTTATGGAAATACGCTAATGAGGGTGAATATAATGTAACTGGAATATGCTTCATGCAAAAGGTCTCTTGTAAGGTATCATTACAAAGCTTATAATCTCCTGAGTGTGGTCATCCTATTTGTATGAATGTATCACTCTTGTATCTGAAACTAGGAGTATGAAATATAACTCTGAGGGCCTATTGTAATTATGCAAAGTGTGAGCCATTAATGGTGGTTTGGAATCTTGATGGCTCCCATTAACCAGGACAATTGACTGTAGGTGGCTCTGTTTCTGGTCACTCAATAACAGACCTGAAAGTGGCAATTCTTCAACAAAAAAACTTCAAAAACAGACTCTAGCGTGAAGCTGCAGAACTGGAATTAATTTGAAAACTGGATACCATCAGATTAAGCCTGAATAAAGACTGGGAGTGGTTGGGTCATTACAAAACCTAAACTTAATTTCCCCAATACTAATTTTCCCCTACTGTTACTCACACCTTCTTGTCAACTGTCTGTAATGGGCCACTCTCTTACCACTTCAAAAGTTATTTTTCCTCCCTTGGTATCCTGCTGTTAATTGATTTATCTCGCTAGACTGACCTCACACTTGGTAAAGCAACCCCCATCCTTTCATGTATTTATACCTGCTCCTGGATTTTTCACTTCATGCATCTGATGAAGTGGGCTGTAGCCCACGAAAGCTTATGCCAAATAAATGTGTTAGTCTCTAAGGTGCCACCGGACTCCTGGTTGTTTTTGTTGATACAGACTAACACGGCTACCACTCTGAAATCTGTTTTACTTGTAAGCCTTCCTGTGAGTCAGGCCGGGAAGAATGGAGGCCGGGGGTCTCACAGGACATGTGACCATGTCACCTGGGACTGGAATCCATCTTAAACCTGGTGCTTTTCCATTGAGAAGGAAGGGTGGGGACCCAGAGAGACAAAAGATTCCCGCCTTGTGCCAAAGCTATAAAAGGGGGTGGAACAGAACAAGGGGGCTGCAGTCATGAGAAAACCCCTAGTTACCACCTGATCTGGAGCTAACAAGGACTGTACCGGGGAAAGGATTGGGCCCAGACTAGGAAGGAGTCTAGCCTGTGAAAGAAGCTTATTGGAACATCTCTGACGGTGAGATTTACCTGCATTCAGTTTCTTACTGTATTAGGCTTAGCTCAGTGGTTTGAGCATTGGCCTGCTAAATCCAGGGTTGTGAGTTCAATCCTTGAGGGGACCACTTAGGGATCTGGGGCAAAATCAGTACTTGGTCCTGCTACTGAAGGCAGGGGGCTAGACTCGATGACCTTTCAAGGTCCCTTCCAGTTCTAGGAGATAGGATATCTCCATTTATTTAATTTAACTTGCGTGTTTTGTTTTATTTTGCTCGGTAACTTACTTTGTTCTGTCTGTTATTACTTGGAACCACTTAAATCCTACTTTTTATACTTAATAAAATCACTTTTGCTTATAAATTAACCCAGAGTAAGTAATTAATTCCTGGGGGAGCAAACAGCTGTGCATATCTCGCTATCAGTGTTATAGAGGGCGGACAATTTATGAGTTTACCCTGCATAAGCTTTATACAGGGTAAAACGGATTCACTTGGGGTTTGGATCCCGTTGGGAGCTGGGTATCTGGGTGCTGGAGACAGGAGCCCTTCTTAAGCTGTTTTCAGTTAATTCTGCAGCTTTGAGGCGTGTGGTTCAGACCCTGGGTCTGTGTTGCAGCAGGCTGGCGTGTCTGGCTCAACAAGGCAGGGTTCTGAAGTCCCAAGCTGGCAGGGAAAACGGGCTCAGAGGTAGTCTCAGCACATCAGGTGGCAGTCCCAAGGGGGTCTCTGTGACCCAACCCGTCACACCCCCTTTCCAGTTACCTTCGATCTCTGGGTATTTCAGCAGGAGCAGGAAGCCGTAGCGCAGAGTGGTGCTGATGGTCTCCGTCCCGGCGAAGAAGATGTTGAACGTGGTCAGAACAATGTTCTTCAGGAAAAACTCAGAGGAAGGATTTTCCTTTTCCTTTAACAGAACGAGAAAAAAAAGTGCCAGGATGCGTGTGAGAACTCTGGGGATGTGGCTGGGAATGGAATCTGTCCGGGACTCCAGTGCACTGCACAGAAGCCAGGTCAGCGCCCATTAGTGTGGGGAGCTGCACGGACCCTGGCTGAAATCAGGGCCCCCGTTGGGGCGGGTGATAGAGTGAGGGACAATCCCTGCTCCAAGGAGCTCACAGTCTCAGAGGATGGCTCTCCATCCCCATTGTATAGGTGGGGAAACTGAGGTACAACACAATGCCGTGATTTGACTAAGGCCACATGGGGGATCAGTGGCAGAGCCCGGATCGCCTGAGTTCCAGCCCAGTGCTTTCCTCAAAGCCCGTTGTTCTTCGCTATCTGTGGGGTTTGATTTCTCTGCCCCAGAAGGTTTGAGGCCTGAACTGACCCCGTTACCAGTTGAACCCCTGGTTACAATCAGGCCGTTTGGTCTCTCAGGCCTGATACTGACCACGCTGAGCTGTCCCCTCCAGCTACGGCCGGTACCTGCTGCATTTTGACCAGGAAGCAGTCGATGAAATCCCGAGGGGCGCTGGGGTCCAGGGTCTCCTGGTTCGCCTTCACCTTCCTCTCGATGAACTTCTCCAGCCCCGCCAGCTGCTTGAACGCTGCGCGCTGGGGGCCAGGCAGGTAGCGCATGGTGCCCGAGAACATCTCGTAGAGCTGGGGGGCAGGGAGAGCAGAGACCCCACTGAACACGGGGTGGGTTGAGAGCCAATCTGTCTGTCTGTCTATATCCATCCCCATCCCACTGACCTATCTATATCTATCCCCACACACCCTCTGTATCTATCTATCTATCTATCTATCTATCTATCTATCTATCTATCTACCTATCTATCTATCTATCTATCCCCACACCCCCTGTATCTATCTATCCCCCCACACACCCTGTATCTATCTATCTATCTATCTATCTATCCCCACACCCCCCGTATCTATCTATCCCCACACACCCTCTGTATCTATCTATCTATCCCCATACGCCCCCGTATCTATCTATCCCC